TAAGAGACACAAAACTGTGGAATAGAAAGACGACTGTTAGACTTGTTTTATAATTTCAATTAGTCCAATAAACCTGAAAAAGAGTTAAAATAATAGAAAGATTTAGAATTGAGTAAGAAGAGTTTAAAGAGTTAGAAGAGTTAGAAGGGTTAGAAGGGTTAGAAGAGTTAGAAGAGTTTAAAGAGTTAGAAGAGTTTAAAGAGTTAGAAGAGTTAGAAGGGTTAGAAGGGTTAGAAGGGTTAGAAGGGTTAGAAGAGTTAGAAGAGTTAGGAGAATTAGAAGAGTTAGAAGAGTTAGGAGATTTATAAAAGTTAAAAAATTTAGAAGAGCTAGAAGAGTTAGAAGAGTTAGAAGAGTAAGAAGAGTTAGAAAAGTTAGAAGAGTTAGAAGAATTAGGAGGGTTAGAAGAGTTAGAAGAGTTAGGAGAATTAGAAGAGTTAGAAGAGTTAGGAGATTTATAAAAGTTAGAAAATTTAGAAGAGCTAGAAGAGTTAGAAGAGTAAGTAGAGTTAGAATAGTTAGAAGAGTTAGAGTAGTTAGAAGAGTTATAAAAGTTAGAAGAGTAAGAAGAGTTAGAAGAGTTAGAAGAGGTAAAAGAGGTAAAGGAGTTAAACGAGTTAAAAAAGTTAAAAGAGTTGAAAGAGTTAAAAGAGTTTAAAGAGTTAGAAGGGTATTTGAAGAGTTAGAAGGGTATTTGAAGAGTTACAAGAGTTAGAAGGATTATTATAGAAAAAAAGTGTAAGAAGAAAGAGGAGTATTAAGTATTTAAGCTCAAGTGCCATGTTAATTTCATCCTAGTTATATTTCTTGTCTTCCGTTTGTTGAAATATAAAGATCATTTCATCAGCTTAATGTAAACGATTAGGTACTCAGTTCTATTTTCCGTGTTGAAATGTGTAATATTTTATGTTTTTTTTTCGGACAGTTTATCTGTTAAAGTACAGGGTTACTTTTCTTATAGTTAATAATGGGATGAGAGGTCAGGACTTAATATCAGGGTTCCACAAATTATACAGTTTACAGATATTCTAAACTCCTAGAGCACTGGGAACTAATGTTGGTAAATATACGATAGACAATAGCTCAGCAACAACAGATATTCTATACTCCTAGAGAACTGGGAACTAAGGTTAGTAAATATAGGATAGATAATAGGTTAACAACAACAGATATTCTATACTCCTAAAGAACTGGGAACCAAGGATAGTAAATATAGGATAGATAATAGCTCAACAACAACAGATATTCTATACTCCTAGAGAACCTGGAATCAAGGATAGTAAATATAGAATAGATAATAGGTTAACAACTACAGATATTCTATAAACCTAGAGAACTGGGAACTAAGGTTAGTAAATATAGGATAGATAATTGCTCAACAACAGATATTCTATACTCCTAGAGAACTGGGAACCAAGGATAGTAAATATAGGATAGATAATAGGTTAACAACAGATATTCTATACTCCTAGAGAACTTGGAACTAAGGTTAGTAAATATAGGATAGATAATAGGTTAACAACAGATATTCTATACTCCTAGAGAACTGGGAACCAAGGATAGTAAATATAGGATAGATAATAGCTCAACAACAACAGATATTCTATACTCCTAAAGAACTGGGAACCAAGGATAGTTTATTTTGGATGAATAATAGCTTAACAACTACAGATATTGAGTACTCATACATAACTCCAAGAAAGCTGAGAAAGTCGTCTTCCTATTTTAGAGTTTTCTGGTTATCACTGTAGCAAATATAAAAGGAGGTGTAAAATATATTAGTTATCACATATATATCTATGTGAGTCTGATATTATTTCCTGGATTTTATTTTTATGACCCAGTAATAGTCAGCCAAATGTTTACCTTAATTTAAACCCAGGTCTGTTAAGATAACAGCTTTCAGACGAACACAAGAAATGCGTAAAAACCATGGAGGCGGGAGTTATTCTATAATAAAAGCCTCAAGGTGGGAAGGACTAAGTGTAGGAGCAGTGGGAGAAGAATGGGTTAGAAAACGAATTTAAAGGTTTGGGAAATAGAAGAATAATTTTGAAAGTAATGCATCTATATATATATGCAGATGTAATCTCTGTTTGTTTGTCCGATCATAACTCAGTAACCCCTTCACCGATCTGACTCAAATATTGATTGGGAAACTCGGGAGACCCACGGGAATATTCTTATATTGGTTTTAAGATTTTAAGTCGAGTGCGTCGACTTTAATAGCGAAAAATTAGTTTCCCGGTACTATTCTAGAAGTCTCCTTGTATATAGTATCTCCTCCCGGCCTCCTTCAGATTTTGCACTACTAACCTAGAAGTCTCCATGTATATTGTATCTCCTCCCTCCTTCAGATTTTGCACTACTAACCTAGAAGTCTCCATGTATATTGTATCTCCTCCCTCCTTTAGATTTTGCGCTACTAACCTAGAAGTCTCCATGTATATTGTATCTCCTCCCTCCTTCAGATTTTGCAAACTAACTTAGAAGTGTCTATGTATATTGTATCTCCTCCCTTCTTCAGATTTTGTACTACTAACAAAGAAGTTTCATTGTATATTGTATCTTCTCCCTCCTTCAGATTTTGCACTAGTAACCTAGAAGTTTCATTGCATATTGTATCTCCTCCCTCCTTCAGATTTTGCACTCCTAACCTAGAAGTTTCATTGTATATTGTATCTCCTCCCTCCTTCAGATTTTGCACTACTAACCTAGAAGTTTCATTGTATATTCCGACTGTTAAAGTTTAACAACAAATGTTGCTAAAAACAAAATAATTGAAAAGAATTTCTTCCAGTTCGTATTTTATACTTTAGTAATAGATAGTGGAGAGGATAGAATACAATTATACAATACACAGTAAACAAAAGAAAGAATAGAAACAGAAAATGAAAACTTTATATAGTAAAACAAGGAGAATAGATAAATAAATGAATGATTGAAGGGATTGTCGTTGTAATTTTAGTTGCCGTTACTTAAAAAAGAGGGCGAAGGCACAATTCACAACGATACCCTCTAAACCGGTGTCTGATCATTATCTTGGAGATTAATTTTAACAATTTTCTCCCTCGTTTAAAAAGCTTAAATCCACAAATAACTTTACAAAGAAACCACAACCACAAAATACAAGAGAAAATTATGGATATCTCATGACAGTCTCAATCAGACAAGTTTTAAAGGGAACTGTTGTGAATAGGACCTACCACTGTATACATGTAGAGTCCATAGATAAATATCTATGGTAGAGTCACTTGAAATAACGTGTACAGTCCCTTTGTGGTGTACAGTCCCTTTAGGAAAACTTAAATTTTTGTGAAACTTTTTCTTTTAACTGCAATATTTTAAGGGGTGGTTGAGATGAGGCAGTAGTATTACAAGAATATAATAAACTAGCTCGGGAACCCAGCTTCTGTTATACCTATTTAAGTCTATCCACTAAACTTAGAATCTTTAAACCCAGCTAAAAACATTCCTATATATATATATAGATTTTTATTTGTTTGATACAGAATGTCCCGCGAAACATGAGAGTTGGTGATTACTTTTTGCAGTTTATTTCGTTAATAAAATCTTTTACTAAAATATATTTTACTTTTAAAATGACTACTGTATAATATTTTTTATTATTCTCTTTTGGTATTAACAGTCTTAAAAAATGATGAAGACGACATTCAACAACTGTCATGTTTCTTGGGACACCCTGAGAAGACTTTAAGGTCGTCTTTAATGTTTAAATAATTTGCTGCGTTCATTTAAAAATAACAAATTTAGACGTAAATTTAAAAAATTGCCCCACCCCCGGAATTTCCTAAATGTGGTCTGTCTTTCCCGTGCTTTTAAAATTACTAGAGATATGAAAATGTTCGTTTTAATTTCGACAAAGATCTATGATTAAAGACGATATTCAATTCGTCTCTCAAATGTCATGTTTCGTGAGACACACTGTACCTTTTCTACGCAGGTAACAGGGAGGTCAAATGAAAGTCAACAAAAAAATTTATTATTTTATAATAGTCTTTTAGCTACACAGCAAACATTTCAGGGAAGGTTTGGATCAGTCACTTAATTCCCATGCTTAATGTTTATTAGGTAGTATGCGCTCAACAGTATAAAATCTCAACCAAAATCTTAAATTTTTAAGACAGTCTTTTTTACACTTTCCACCAGAACTGCATTTTACAGTTTAAATTCTACTGAATACATTTTACAGTTTACACTCTACTGAATACATTTTACAGTTTACACTATCTACTGAATAAATTTTACAGTTTACACTCTCTACTAAATACATTTTACAGTTTACACTCTCTACTGAATACATTTTACAGTTTACTCTCTACTAAATAAATTTTACAGTTTACACTCTCTACTGAATACGTTTTACAGTTTTACTCTCTACTAAATAAATTTTACAGTTTACACTCTCTACTGAATACATTTTACAGATTACTCTCTAGTAAATAAATTTTACAGTTTACACTCTCTACTGAATACATTTAACAGTTTACTCTCTACTAAATAAATTTTACAGTTTACACTCTCAACTGAATACATTCTACAGTTTTCACTCTCACCATTCTGCACTGGTTTCCAACTACAATCTACAGTTTACTGTCTAAGGGAACATTCTACAGTTAACACTGGCTTCCAACTACAATATAAAGTTTTAATCGTCTACTGAATACGCTCTACAGTTTACACTCTCAACTGAATACATTCTACAGCTTTTACTCTCTACTGACTACATTCTACAGTTAACACTCGCTTCCAACTACAATCTACAGTTTTCACTGTCTACTGAAAACACTACAGTTTACACTGTCTACTGAAAACACTACAGTTTACACTCTCAACTGAATACATTCTACAGTTTTCACTGTCTACTGAATACATTCTACATTAAATAAAACGCACAAACTATTCTCGATGGAACAGAAGTTAAAGTTTCTTTCCTCAACACATAAATCCTGGCTTAACTAATCTGAGAACTAGAAAAATTTATCTTGATTTATTAACATTTATTTGAATTTATGTTCAAAAGGGTTAACTCTGAACAATATCTATTTGATCGAGATGTATTTCCAAAATATGTCATCAGTATCAGGACCAGAGCAGGAGAGCAACTAGGAGAACTTAATCACAACAAATCAGAGATCAAGAATATCTAGGAGTACACTAGAGCTAGGAGGAGGTTTGTGTTAGTACAGGATCAAGGACTCGGAGTAAAAACCTCAGTTAGGATTTAATGTATGTATGAAGATGGGTTGAGGAAGGAATATAAACAGGAGAAGCAAAGTTTAAGGAGATTGTGCTGGATAAGCTGGGTTTAGGGAGCAAAGCACCACTGAAAGCAAACTATTCTACAGGTCCAAACTATAATATTCTCACTAGAGATAAGGGGACGGGGAGAGAGTGAGCTTAGCTCGATTCATTTTTCACTTCAACTGTAGATCTAGTGTCGGTGGAAACCAGACAAAAACTCAGAGTTTATAAGAAGTTTGCACACAGATAATGGAGTTTGGTTTAGTTACATAGTCTCTAATCTTCATTGTTCCGGAAACCAAGATTCACGGAGTTCCAGGAGTAAACACTATGCAGCCATAACTTCAGACTGGAGAATTTATCAAATGGGTTTCTATCCGTCTCTATGAAGATTATTAACTATTGGAATTCACTAGGAACTAGATAAGGAACTCAGTTGGCAGGTTTCCCCTGTGTTCCTCCAGCTCCGGAGTATGGGACGGATGAGAATCCAATAGAGGGAGGAGGTAGGGCACCAGGCGGTAAACTGGAGACGGGAGACATTCCTCCAGGTACCGGAGGTAGAGCTCCGGGAGGAAGCAGAGGATATCCGAGTCCAATATGAGTGTGAGTGTGGGTGTGAACATGACGAAGGGGAGGCGGAGATTTAGATTTATCTCCGGCAGAAGTATTGGTCGGAGAATCCTTTCCGGCCAAGGTTGTAATAGGTTTGGGAAGAGACAATCCCATGGAAGGTACTGAAGACATTGAAGAAATAGGTGATTTAAGAGCTCTCTCCTGCAGCTCAACTAGTTTCTGATTTGCATAGTACTGGGTTGCATGCTGCTGTAGTAAATCTAGAGCTTTAGTTCCGCTGAGACCAGGAGGAGCTCCGGCAGCAGCTCTAGCTAGATCCTCAGCACCCAGAGGGAAAGGAGCTCGCATCATCGGATCCCCGAAGGAGAAGGGAACCGGCGGTCGAATCGAAGATAGATGTGCTGGGGTAAGGTATGGATTGGGTCCGGGCGGAAGTCCGTATGGAGATAATCCGCCGGCACTTACGAAAAGAGGCTCAAAAGGTGGAGCCATACCTCCTATGCTAAATGGAGGGCGGAGAAGAGATGGATGCATGTATCCGAAGGTTTGAGGTCCTGGAGGCGGTCCACGAGTTTCCATCGTAGGTTTCACTCCCTCCTCACTTTTTATTTCTCTTTTTACTTCTTCCTTCTCTCTGAACTCTGGTTTAACACTGATCATGTTGGTCATAGGAGATGCTCTGCTCCGAGGTCTGTTATCACCAGAAGGTTCACGCTTCCTCAGATCCTCAGGTTTCCCTCCGTCGGGTTTCCTTGGCGGGGTTCCCTGTAATCTATCATCTTTACCCAGGGATAGACTAGAGAATTTACCCTGGTCCTTATCTAACTGTTCTTTAAACGCCCTCTCTCGGTCCGCTCTGTCCTTCTCCCACTTGGATTTATACAACGGATCAGTCTTTAATAATTGAATATGGAAGTTTGGATCCATACCTACAGGATAGGGATAGGGGAAAGGAGGGAATCCATTGGCAGCTAGATATTTATGATACTCCTGAGTCCCAACCTGAGGTCCAGGATTTGATCCTGTGAGACCGTAACTACTTGTTCTATGCCCGGTTGGAGTTGTAGTGATCATACTGGATTCGGTTCGTGGCATAGGACTTGATCTAACGAGTTGCGGAGAGGAGAAAGAGCTGGAACCAGAGACCTGGGACGAGGGAATAGATATTCCTTGAGGCAACTTCAAATCCTTCCCTCGGGAGTCCTCACCATCATCTGATATATCGGAGTAGGCAGGACTGTTGGCAGAAGGTTTTTCTCTCTCCTGAGATGGAGAACCTGCCAGGAGAGGATTAGGAGTTCCGTTGGGAGGAGCAGGACTACCGGCAGGAGATTCAATCATCCTACTCTTATTTTTGAGATCATCGGTAGGATCTAAATACTTTCCGTTGGTCGGAGGAGTATAAAGTCCAGGACGTACTTGAAGGTTTCCAGGACGTTGCGGCGGTTGACCGTGTTGTTGTGCTTGTTGCTGCTGCTGCTGCTGGGGAGTGAACTGTTTATTTTTCAACTCTGTGACAGGAGTAGATTTATTAGATTCATCAAGCTTAGGCTGCTTCGCAGGAGTTCCTTTATCACTGTTCTCCTTTCCTTCCTTCTTCTTTCTCTCCTCCTTCTCCTCCTTACTCCGGTTCTTTCTCTTCTTCTCCTGCTCCTCTTTCTCTACTTCACTGCTATCCCGGATTTCTCCATCTGCTCCGATAAACTCGGGATGTGAATGGGAAACGTGCCATTTAAGTCCGTCATCATGTTTGTATTGCTTGCTACAATCCTTCCTGGGACAGTTGAGCATCTTATAACTGAAACTATCAGGTTTAGGTTCTCTCTTAACTGTCGGAGTAGGTTTAAACTCCTCTGTCGGAGCACTGGAGTCATCACTGTCAGAGCTTGTTCTTTTTCTCTTTTTCATCTCATCAAGTTCAGGTTCCTTCTTTCTCTTAGTCCCATCCTTGGCAGGACTGGCCGGGGTAGGGAAATTAAATTCATCTTCAGTTTCAGCAGCCTGCTGCTCTGGTATCTGAGCTTGTTGCTGCTGTTGCTGCTGACTCTTACTTCCTTTCCCCTTCCCCTTAGCTTTGCTGCTCCGTAGATTTTTCCTTGGCTCCGGTTCCAACGGAGTACTTGTGGCTCGACCTCGCTTCCCTCTTCCCTTTCCTCCAGGTTCAGGAGAATCCGTAAACCTGAAAATAAATATAAATTAGATTTGTTGATTTCGTAGCTTATTCATTTATTCATCTATTTTAAACAAACAATATCATTCAACATGATGTGTAACTTTTATCTCGAAATTATTTCAAATAAAAAAAACTTAAGTAAATCGTGTAGATTTCTACGGAATGATGGTTGCTGGATATTTTAAGTATTATTATTTTATCCCTATTATCATTATTATTATCATACATATTCAGTGTTCACCAGAGCACAACATTAGCAAATTATCTAAAAACCTGTTCTAGAGGTAAGAAAAAAATATATTCCAATGGATAGTCCCTTAAAGAATGTTTAAAATAAGTACTGAGTAGTGGAGAATATAAAGTAATTATATTGAACAATTTGACATATTTTGTAAGGGTAGAAGGTTCAATTTTAACCACAATAAGTGAGATTTGACCGGAAATAGAAAAAGAAAGGACGAAATAGGAATAAAAAAGAATTGGGAATAGAAAGGACGAAATAGGAATAAAAAAGAATTGGGAATAGAAAGGACGAAATAGGAATAAAAAAGAATTGGGAATAGATGAATTGATAAATTACAAGAAGTAGAGACTAATATATTTTCTGTTGAGCGAAACGGCCGACTGAAGATAGAGAATCAATGAATAATGGATGTAAATGGATAATACTGACAAGTCTATTCAAAAACAATTCCGTTATTAAACATTAGCTGTAGACATTTTCATGTCTACAGCCAATGTATCATTCCCCCGCCCTCGTTACCAAAAAGAAACAACTAGAGATATTTGAATGAAAAGTTTTTTTTATATTTGCAGATGAGAAAGTGAAGCAGAAATTTCAAGAAAAAGTGTGATTTAGAGATTTTCTTTTCTAATTATTTTCATTTGTCACTATAGTGACTTGTATATTTCTTGCTTCAGAAATAATGGAGCAACTATTTGAATTAATATCTGTTCAAGCTAGAAAAAAAAGTATCTCCGATTTCATTGATCAGATCAGGACTTAAAGGGTAATTGTGTAAACTGGGCATGCCCCTTGTTAAATGGAAGTTTAGTAAAATTACGCCAACAGTCCCTTTAAACAAATATTTGAGAAGTATCCGTCCCTGTTGGATAAACAGTACCTTTAAACAAATATATATTTGGGAAGTATACGTCCCTGTTGGATAAACAGTCCCTTTAAACAAATATTTGAGAAGTATACGTCCCTGTTGGATAAACAGTCCCTTTAAACAAATATTTGAGAAGTATCCGTCCCTGTTGGATAAACAGTCACTTTAAACAAATATTTGAGAAGTGTACGTCCCTGTTGGATAAACAGTCACTTTAAACAAATATTTGAAAAGTATCCGTCCCTGTTGGATAAACAGTCCCCTTAAACAAATATTTGAGAAGTATCCGTCCCTGTTGGATAAACAGTCACTTTAAACAAATATTTATTTGAGAAGAATACGTCCCTGTTGGATAAACAGTCACTTTAAACAAATATTTGAGAAGTATCCGTCCCTGTTGGATAAACAGTCACTTTAAACAAATATTTGAGAAGTATCCGTCCCTGTTGGATAAACAGTCACTTTAAACAAATATATATTAGAGAAGTATCCGTCCCTGTTGGATAAACAGTTCCTTTAAACAAATATTTGAGAAATATACGTCCCTGTTGGATAAACAGTCCCTTTAAACAAATATTAGAGAAGTATCCGTCCCTGTTGGATAAACAGTCCCTTTAAACAAATATATATTTATTTCCAATTTAATTGATATTTCAAGCTCCCCGTTCATTTCCTGTTCACTATAAATGCAATGCATGAATTTGAAGCAATCCTTGAATTTTTTAAATCTTTTACATATTATTAACATTTAGTACAAAGAGCAAGTTCAAATTAAATTAAATTAATTTTAGAATTTAAAAAAACTAAAAAGAAAGATTATATTTAAGAAATCAAAGAACTATTTAAAAAGTAAAAAATTGATAATCCAAATGAATAATATTTCTTCTTGTCGAACTAATGACCCCTTTCTCATCGTTTACATTTTCTTCTAATATTGTTGTGCTGGGAGAAAGAAAATTCTTTTTCATAGAGAATTGTTTGATAGATGATTAGTGCTCTCAGATTGATGATGCGGAACCCACATTCCTATATAGTCTTATACATGGAGATATAATCCTAGTCCTAGTATTCTTTATACGTGGAGATATAATCCTAGTCCTAGTATTCTTTATACATGGAGATATAATCCTAGTATTCTTTATACAATGAGATATAGTCCTAGTATTCTTTATACATGGAGATATAGTCCTAGTATTCTTTATACATGGAGATATACTCCTAGTATTCTTTATACATGGAGATATAGTCCTAGTATTCTTTATACATGGAGATATAGTCCTAGTATTCTTTATACATGGATATATATATATAATCCAATTCCCAGTATTTTTGTACATGGAGATTGAAGGAATTCTTTACTACTGTTTCCTCCTAAATTTATAATTTTATTCTCATCTCTTTATTTACATTGACGTGTTGATTATCTTACTCCCACTACTCTAGATAATACCAAGATATTGACTGAGCTCCTAGCTCCAGGTCTCAAGTCCTGAATTTGTGTAGAAAACTATGATTTGACTGTTGAATTCAATATACTGCGGAGCTGACTGAATCTGAGAATAGAATTTTGAGGGGAAAATCTGAGGTTTGACAAGGCATGGAATGAAAAGGGGGGGATTTAATACTTTACAGAATAGTAATTGATGATAAAACTGAAAATCTATTAAGTGAAAAGAATTCAGCCAAAGAAAATGTGTTTTATATGGAAGACAATAGTAAAATAGGAATGTAGGATTGTAGAATGGAAGTGTAAACGGTAGACCATGTAGAATGAAAGTGTAAACTTTGTAGTATGTAGAATGGAAGTGTAAACTGTATGTAGAATTGAAGTGTTAACTGTACACCTTGTAGAATGGAAGTGTAAACTGTAGACCATGTAGAATGAAAGTTAAAATGATGACGATGAAGCATATTTTTTTTGCATAGGATGGAAGTATAATTACTATGTTCTCTAAGTATGGATTGGAAAGACAAAGTGTTAAGTATGGAAATATAAGATGGAAACATAGGGGGCTAAGTATTAAAGTGTATAATGGAAGTATTGGGTGCTAGGTACGGAATTGTAATATGGAAGTATTATGTGCCAAGTATGGAGATGTAAGATGGAAGGATATGGTGTTGAGTATGGAATTGTAGGATGGAAGTAAAGAGTATTCAGTGTGGAAGTGTAAGGTGTATAGGATGAAAGTGTAGGAATGGGGTGGGTAAATGAGGAGAGATAAGAAGATGAGGGGAAGAGATATCAAGTTTCACTCCTCAAAAGATTATAGACAGTGTATGTTTACTAAGAACAGCCTGAGAACACTGTTTAATTACATAATTATTCACTGGAAGTAAGTTGGAAACTTGTATATATAATGTATATATAGGAAGAGGAGGAATACAAGATCATTTTCTACATCAATACAACAAATAAAACAGGTAAAATAAAAGTTTAATGAATTAAATGAATGAACAGAAAAAAATATTAAATGTCTCTAAAAACTGGAAAAAGAAAAAAGAAATAAAACGGAATCTATAGAATAAGTAAATGACAACATTAACAAAATTCTTTGGCTAAATTTAAACTATGTAAATGAAAATCTGTTAATGAAGACGACACGAATATAAAACTAAATAAAAAGGATCAGAAACTAAATAAAGGGGATCAGAAACTAAATAAAAGAGATAAGAAACTAGATAAAAGGGATCACAAACTAAATAAAAAGGATCAGACACTAATTAAAAGGATCAGAAACTAAAAAAAGGGGATCAAAACTAAAAAAGGATCAGAAACTAAATCAAAGGGATCCAAAACTAAATAAAAGGGATCAAAAACTAAATAAAAGGGATCAAATACTAAATAAAAGGGATCAGAAACTAAATAACAGGAATCAAATACTAAATAAAAAGGGATTAGAAACTAAATAAAAGGGATCAAATACTAAATAAAAAGGGATCAGAAACTAAATAGAAGGGATCAGAAACTAAATATAAAGGGAACAGAAACTAAATAAAAGGGATTAGAAACTAAATAAAAGGGATCAAATACTAAATAAAAAGGGATCAGAAACTAAATAAAAGGAATCAAATACTAAACAAAAAGGGAACAGAAAGTAAACAAAAGGTTTAAAAATTGAATTAAAAGAAGGATGAAGAATGGTTAAATGCAAAAACAAGAAAAAAATGTCAAAGGGGAAAAATCCAAAAAAGTATAAGAAAAATCTAGTTGTGTGTGTTATGTGGCTCTAAACTGTATAAATAAAGATATAATGTTTGGTAGAGAGAGAGAGGAGAGAGCTAGAGAATTATGTTTATAAGAAGTATTCGGGTCTGCAGTATTCTACACTCAATACAAACATTCAACTTATACAAGTATGATAATAATAATAATAATAATAATAACGTTAATAATAATAATAATAATAATAATAATAATAATAATAATGATGCTAAGTATAGAATGATATAAAATGAATAATACTGAACAATGCAACATATATTTCATATTTAAACCCTACAATACATAAATTTAAGTATGGAGGATGAACCTATTAGAATATTAAACTTAAAATATGATTTCGAGGAACAAAATAATCATTTTACCTCCATAATAGTTCATATTTGCTGTCAGTTTACAGGAAAAGATGAACTTTTCTTAAAGGGACTGTACGCGTAATTTCAAGTAACCTTACATTTATAGAGTGGCATGTTCAATTTACAACTATACCCTTTAAACCTTTGATCAAGGATTGCGTAGATATTCTTATTTTTAAAGCGGGAAATTAGGTGTCAAGAAACCGCGCAAATGTACACTAGCGCGGAGAGTACAGTGTACACTGTAACCTCAAGTCTCCCGGCACTCAATTTTCAGCTATACGAATGAGGGTATCTAAATCTACCTCATCGTTGTCCGGACAAAGGTTTTAAGGTACTCTTGTGAATTGGACAGGCCTCACTTGAAATTACGCCTACAGTCTCTTTAACTATTTGACAAAATATTTAAAATCTCCAAAGCTTGAAAAATATATGAAGATTAATTATTTACCTTGGTGCTGACCATTGATTAGTATGCCGTGCACAGTCCAGTAGAGTACCAACATAGGTCTTTCCTCTCCAGGTTATATTAACAACTAGAACACCTAGAATATAAAACATCTTAAACTTATCCATGCTTATGAAAATTTATAAGATTTTATGTATTAACCCCCCCCCCCTCCTTCTCGCCAACCTTCTCACAAGCTTGGAGTAATCCTAGAATCCAATCTATGGATTTATCCAAATTCGAACCAAGGAGAAGTAAATATTCTGAACCTAGGAGAAGGAAAATATTCAGAACCAAGGAGAAGAAAATATTCTGAACCTAAGAGAAGGAAAATATTTTGAACGAGGAGAAGGAAAATATTCTGAACCAGGAGAAGGAAAATATTCTAAACCAGGAGAAGGAAAATATTCTGAACCAAGGAGAAGGAAATATTCTGAACCTAAGAGAAGGAAAATATTTTGAACGAGGAGAAGGAAAATATTCTGAACCAGGAGAAGGAAAATATTCTAAACCAGGAGAAGGAAAATATTCTGAACCAAGGAGAAGGAAATATTCTGAACCTAAGAGAAGGAAAATATTCTGAACGAGGAGAAGGAAAATATTCTGAACCAGGAGAAGGAAAATATTCTGAAGCTAGGAGAAGGAAAATATTCTGAAACAAGGAGAAGGAAAATATTATGAACCAAGGAGAAGGAAAACATTCTGAACCAAGGAGAAGGAAATATTGTGAACCAGGAGAAGGAAAATATTCTGAACCTAGAAGAAGGAAAAAATTCTAAACCAAGGAGAAGGAAATATTCTGAACCAGGAAAAGGAAAAAATTCTGAACCAATAGGAAAATATTCTGAACCAAGGAGAAGGAAATATTCTGAACCAGGAAAAGGAAAGCTAAGATTCAATGAATTCCAAAACATTCCGCTGGAAAATCGGAAACTATTTCTTTCATCTCCTGGAAATTGAGAAAATATGAAGTTACAGGTTCAGCTCTCTGTGTGTTTGTTTGTTTAGTTTAAATAAATCATTTGAAACGAGGACCCAGAGAAAATATGAGCCGCGTCCTGATAAGAGCGGAGAAAAATATGAGACACGTCCTGATAAGAACGGAGAAAAATATGAGACATGTCCTGATAAGAACGGAGAAAAATATGAGACATGTCCTGATAAGAACGGAGAAAAATATGAGACGCGTCCTGATAAGACCGGAGAAAAATATGAGACACGTCCTGATAAGACCGGAGAAAAATATGAGACGCGTCCTGATAAGAACGGAGAAAAATATGAGACGCGTCCTGATAAGACCGGAGAAAAATATGAGACGCGTCCTGATAAGAACGGAGAAAAATATGAGACGCGTCCTGATAAGACCGGAGAAAAATATGAGACGCGTCCTAATAAGACCGGAGAAAAATATGAGACGCGCCCTGATAAGACCGGAGAAAAATATGAGACATGTCCTGATAAGAACGGAGAAAAATATGAGACGCGTCCTGATAAGACCGGAGAAAAATATGAGACGCGTCCTGATAAGAACGGAGAAAAATATCAGACATGTCCTGATAAGACCGGAGAAAAATATGAGACATGTCCTGATAAGACCGGAGAAAAATATGAGTTCAAGTCTCACCATCTGTTTAACATTAGAATGAAATCTGATAATATTTTCATCATCTTTCAACGAATACATATTTTTAATGATCCCGCATTTATCGCAAAATGTTTAGGATAAAAACAAAAATATTTATTGAAAGAAAATACTGCATGAGAGTACATTCGATAAAGATACCCCCCTCCCCAATTAAAAAAGCTGTACATAAAAATTAAGCTATTTTTGATATTTTCAATAAGATTTTTGAATGCTCTCCCTCCCTCCAATTATGCAATTATGCCTCTTCTTCTGTTCCTTTTTATTTTTCTCCCTCTCTCCTCTTATTTTGTATTGCCCCCCCCCCCACCACCACCACCCATCCAACTGTATTTTTTATCACCCCTCTTGTATTTTGTAATGCCCCCCTCCCTCTATACATATTTACAGTATGAAGTTTTTGTTCTGTTACCAGCATGGAATAAAAACTCATAAATTACCAAATATGATTTCTTTACATACATACATATAACGACTAAAATAGACTATTTTGTGATAAGTGAAAACACACAGAAAATAGAATTGTTTCATTATCATAACATAGCTTGAATTCTCCACCCACAAGGTTGAGATATCTTGAGAAAGCAATATCGTTGTAGAGACACAAAGAACTCTATAATCCTACTCCAACCGTAGAAAACTAACTATTACTCTTGCAAACCTTTTCAGGCAAATCTTTCAAGCATAAAATATAATATTTCAATAATGTCATTCAGAAAATTATGAGCCTGAACAATCCTGTTAGATTCAACACACATTGGATAGTTTAGTTCAAGTGTGCTATCTTATATTTAAGACAGTACATATGTTTAGTTCAAGGGTGTTATCTTATATTTAAGACAGTACATATGTTTAGTTCAAGTGTGTTATCTTATATTTAAGACAGTACATATGTTTAGTTCAAGTGTGTTATCTTATATTTAAGACAGTACATATGTTTAGTTCAAGTGTGTTATCTTATATTTAAGCCAGTACATAAATCCTTTTTATCTTTACTCCACCGTACACCGGGTTTATTATTCTATATACTTACAAATTACATCAAGTTAACAACATACTTATCAAATCTAAGATGATTCAAATTAAACTCCAATTTTTGGAATTTTATAATTCTTAATTTTAAAACCAGAACAGGTTTGGAAAGAATTGTGTACTGCATTTACAACGAAGAAGTAAAGATATAAAAATAAAGATATAATCTGAATAGCTCAAACGTAACCCAAGCTAAAGTAAGTTTATTCAAATTTTATAAATGGGGGGGGGGGGCGGTGGAGGTGTCATCTCTCGTGTACATCTATCGTAACTATTCTTCGGGTAGGGTCAAATCTTCTTTAGCCAGTGGGGCTGGCCCTGATCAGACGTCGGGGTTGAGATAGTGTGCTAGGTTTGGGTAGAGCTTGAGAGTGGATGATAGTTCTAGGTTGGAGTAGAGGATAAGATCTTGAAGCTGAGCTAAAAGTCTGGAGTATGCAACTCAAGAAACTAACTCGTCATCCAGTAAAATCAAGGTTTTTATAGGTACAGGATACACTGCGGACTAAACCTTTCTCCGAACCATAGAATATACAGCTGAGTGGAGAGAATCCAGCAATAACCTGATCTTTAGGTTGGATTTATTGGGGAGATTGATTTACACCCAGGCCTGAGCAACCCTGGTGAGGGTTTAACAATACCCAGGATAGAGGAGAGGTTGGAGCAAAAAGTTCAACTGAACTTGGATCAATTAATCATGATTCTCCACCACACACAAGCTCAGGGTTGACACTAAACCTCAAACTGTTAATTCTAGATGATATTAACCTAGGATAATAGTTTGATCTTTCTATCGGTTTTTGTTCTTGTTTGATCAGATAGATTTAAAACATGTATTTCAAAGGTCGAGTTTGAGTGAAAACATGATTGAAATAATTAGAAAAATGCCGGGGTTAGTGAGAGAAGGAAGAGAACAGAGACAGAAGAGGGGGTGTGAAGGAAGGAGAAAATTCAAGGAAAAGTGAGGAAGCCGAAAAGTCAAGGAAAGGTGAGAAAGGAGAAAGTCAAGGAAAGGTGAGGAAAGAGAAAATCATGGAAAGGTGAGGAAGGAGAAAGTCAAGGAAGGAGAAAGTCAAGGAAAGGTGAGAAAGGAGAAAGTCAAGGAAAGGTGAGGAAGGAGAAAAGTTAAGGAAAGGCGAGGAAGGAGAAAAGTTAAGGAAAGGTGAGGAAGGAGAAAATTAAAGGAAAGGTGAGGAAGGAGAAAAGTTAAGGAAAGGTGAGGAAGGAGAAAAGTTAAGGAAAGGTGAGGAAGGAGAAAAGTTAAGGAAAGGTGAGGAAGGAGAAAATTAAAGGAAAGGAGAGGAAGGAGAAAAGTAAAGGAAAGGTGAGGAATCGATAAAAGATCTAAAGAAGATTGAGAAGATGATATCTTGTAGTTGAAGAAAGGAGAATAATTATATGTTGTATGAGCTGAGGTCTGCCCTGTAATAACCTAGAATTAGATCCACCTTCAGTGCACTTAAAGATTTCCTACATGTTCTCCAATGGTTGTAGTCCAAACATGTGCTCAAGTGGTCCAACATGTACTCCATAGGTCCAAAATGCTTCCAAGATGTACTGCAGTGCAGAAGTGCAACATGTACTCCAGTGGTCCAAAATGCTTTCAAGATGTACTACAGTGCAGTGGTCCGACATGTACTCCAGTGGTCCAAAATGCTTCCAAGATGTACTACAGTGCAGTGGTCCAACATGTGCTCCAGTGGTCCAAAATGCTTCCAAGATGTACTACAGTGCAGTTGTCCAACATGTACTCCCCTGTTCCAAAATGCTTCCAAGATGTACTACAGTGCAGTGGTCCCACATGTACTCCAGTTGTCCAAAATGCTTCCAAGATGTACTAGAGTGCAGTGGTCCGACATGTTCTCCAGTGGTCCAAAATGCTTCCAAGATGTACTACAGTGCAGTGGTCCAACATGTACTCCACGGTTCCAAAATGCTTCCAAGATGTACTACGGTGCAGTGATCCAAGATGTACTACAGTGCAGTGGTTCAAGATGTGCTACAGTTCAGTGGCCCAAGATGTACTACGGTGCAGTGGTCCAAGATCTACATTGCAGTGGTCCAAGATGCACAAAAGTGCTGTGGTCCAATAAGAAAAAGAAAGGGGGGGGGTGTATTGGCTGTTAAGTTGAAAGTAAGAAAAGGGTAAAATTCTGTAGAAGATAAAGAAGGATCGTTAAAGAATGAAAAGTAGGAGAGCGGGACCAAGTATGTAGTTAAAGGTTTGTGGATGAAACAGTGAACTTTAAATTGGTTAAAAAAGGGAAAATTAATTCCAGTGAAGGGAAAAGATAGAAGGGAGGGAATAAATAGATATATGAGAGGGAGTAGATTGACGCGAGGGAGTAAATAGATAGATGAGAGGGAGTAGATTGACTCGAGGGAGTAAATAGATAGATGAGAGGGAGTAGATTGACGCGAGGGAGAAAATAGATAGATGAGAGGGAGAATATTAACGCGAGAGAGTAAATAGATAGATGAGAGGGAGTAGATTGACGCGAGGGAGTAAATAGATAGATAAGAGGGAGAATATTAACGCGAGGGAGTAAATAGATAGATGAGAGGGAGTAAGTGACGCGAAGGAGTGTAAAGATAGATGAGAATAGTAAAGTGGTGCAAGGGAGTAAAAAGATGAGGGATAGATGAGGGAGGGGAGGGGGGAATAAAAAAGAGGAATCAAGAAGATGGGAGGGAGTAGATGCATGGAAGGGAATGGATAAATAGGAGGGAGTGGATTAAAGAATGGAAATTAAACAATAATACAAGAAAAGGTGCTAACCAACCAGAGCAGAAAAACTGTTTAAAAGAGGAGGGGGGGGGGGGTCTACAGAAAAAGGGAGGAGAAGGGGGAGGGTGTAATGGTATTTCAGAACATTAAAGAATGTAGCTCCAGAACCTTTGATCCATGCACGAGGGAAACTTGGATGAATTGTTCAAAACCTTCCTAACACAGAAGATTCTTTATACCCCTACATTCATCAGATATTGTTAAACTGTATCGAGTAGATGGGGTTTATTTACACCAACTCTCCGCCTATTTGATTAATGATACAAGAGATTAAGTTTAAATATAAAAATTTTTATTTTTTTTTCCAGGCAATTGTAGCTAGATCATAAATTAAAACGTAAGTTGGATTTAACTGTCCTTAAAGGATTTAATTGATATTTTGAATGAAACGAGTAGGCTCTGGTTTCCTAGGTTTTATGACCTTCTGTATCCAGGACCAAGGTTGAATAGTAGACTAGTCAAACCTAGCTCCAGGATATATATATAATATATATCCTATATAAGTATCTATAAGATCAAATATCAAATATCTCATTGACTTCGGAGAACGTTAGAAAATTGATTATTAAAATATTGACGAGCTATCCTTTGAGCATTGAACCGTAGCAGGACCATAAAACCTTTAATTCACAATATTATTTGATCCAACAAAATTTTCACTGTTAATATCCAAAACGACAAAAACACTCCTCTCTGGCTAAAACCTATGACAAATTCACAAAAATGTCCAAATAATTTATATTTTTAAAATAACTAAATAAACAGAAATAATGTAGAAACGAGGTTCAAATAAACCCTTTAAATACACATTAATAGGTCTCATAGTGATCTATTCTAAACTTGTTTTTCTTGTTGATGCAGGTTAGTAGAATATGTTCTAGTGTACAATTTTCTTTTTAGATTTTTCAGAAAAATGGCAAGATTAAATACTGAACTGAAGCTCATTTAACAACTTAACTAAAAATGTTAACGCACATTTTCTTTATTTAAAGGGATTGTTCATGCAATTTGAAGCAATCTCTAATTCAAAAGCCCTGTACCAATTCTAAACGGTTTACCCTTTATCGGAGAAAAATGGAGTAGAAATATGACAAACCAAGGATTTTCGGGAATTTTTAGATTTTGCTTTGACAAAATTAGAAATAACGAAAATATCTTTGACACAATTTCTTCGATTTGGGGGTTTTAATCTGTAATGTTTGTTGTACCTGTATCAGTCTCGTGCCAGACAATTCCCTCTAGGTTGACCGCAGTTCCTGGCTCGCAGGGTCCAAGTATCTCCGGTTCGGTCAGAGTACTGGCATCCGTTACAGTTCCAACATCCACCTAGAGATAGAGTTCGTAAATAATGTTGTTTATACTCTTTATAAAACTAATAATTCAAAATTAAACTGATAAATCAATAGCAAATGATTTACTGTCATAAAAGACAATAAACTACTATTTAAAAGTACAGCTTTTAATCTAATAGATATACGAAGTATTCTTTCTTCAAGCTAATTTAATTCATAGGCTGAGAGGCAAGTTTAACAAATAAGATAAAACATTTCAGAAAAAATCTATAAAAATATTTTTGGTAAGAAACAAAATATAAAATTGAAATTCATAAGTTTGAGGAAAAAGTTTTCGTGAAAGTTTAAGACATTTGAAATGAATGAGTAGAAGATTTCCGAAGAAAATATTTATTGTTGATATATATTCATGCAGAAAGATACCCCCCCCCCCCCCTCCTTTGTGATATGTGATATATTAGAAATAAATTATATTTAATATTTTGTGTGTTAAGTAAAGTGCATAATCAATACATAAAAATGCAATTATAATATATTTTATAGATATGTTATGCCAGCTTAATTGTGAAGGGTGTTGAAATCAAATTAAATTAATGACACACACTTCAAGTACCCTGTTAACCTTGAAGTTTGACATGAAGAAGAAATTCTAATAAAACAAAAATAAAGTTTTAGAATTTATTCATTCAGGCAAAATAAATTATAAAGTAGAAACAAAACTGAAATTAGTGTTAACTTTAACCAGTAGGTTAGAAAGGAAAGAAAGGTTGGAAAGGTACAAATGATGGAAAGGTTAAAGGTAGAAATGATGGAAAGGTTAGAAAGGTAGAAATGAAGGAAAGGTTAGAAAGGTAGAAATGATGAAAGGTTAGAAAGGTAGAAATGATGGAAAGGTTAGAAAGGTAGATATGAAGGAAAGGTTAGAAAGATAGATATGAAGAAAAGGTTAGAATGGTAGAAATGAAGGAAAGGTTAGAAAGGTAAAAATGATGGAAAGGTTAGAAAGGTAGAAATGATGGAAAGGTTAGAAAGGTAGAAATGATGGAAAGGATAGAAAGGTAGATATGAAGGAAAGGTTAGAAAGGTAGATATGAAGGAAAGGTTAGAAAGGTAGAAAGGATGGAAAGGTTAGAAAGGTAAATATGAAGGAAAGGTTAGAAAGGTAGATATGAAAGAAAGGTTAGAAAGGTAGAAATGAAGGAAAGGTTAGAAAGGTAAAAATGATGGAAAGGTTAGAAAGGTAGAAATGATGGAACGGTTAGAAAGGTAGATATGAAGGAAAGGTTAGAAAGGTAGAAATGAAGGAACGGTTAGAAAGGTAAAAATGATGGAAAGGTTAGAAAGGTAGAAATGAAGGAAATATTAGAAAGGTAGAAATGAAGGAAAGGTTAGAAAGGTAGAAATGATCGAAAGGTTAGAAAGGTAAAAATGATAGAAAGGTTGGAAAGGTAGGAATAGATGGATAGGATTGAAAGAATGGAAAGGTTATATAGGATGGAAAAGATGAAAAGGATGGAAAGGATGAAAAGGGTTGAAAGGATGAAAAGGATTCAAAAAGGATGGATATTTTGAAAAGAATGGATAGGTTGGATAGAATGGATAGGATGGAAAGGTTGAGAAGGGTGGAAAGAATAAAAAAGATTGATAGAATGAAAAGGATGTCAGGGAAGAATAGGATGGAAAGGGTGTAAAAGGTGGAAAGGGTGTAAAGGATGAAAAGGGTGGAAAGGACGAAAAGGATTCAAAAAGGATGGATAGGATGAAAAGAATGGATAGGTTGGATAGAATGGATAGGATGGAAAGGTTGAGAAGGGTGGAAAGAATAAAAAAGATTGATAGAATGAAAAGGATGTCAGGGAAGAATAGGATGGAAAGGATGGAAAGGGTGAAAAGGATGGAAAGGACGATAAGGATGGATAGGATGGATAGGATAGGATGGATAGGATGGAAAGGATTTAAAGGCTGGATAGGATGGAAAGGTTCGAAAATATGGAAAGGATGGACAGGTGTAGAATAAAATGAATGCTAAATGAATAATCTGTATAAAGAATAATGTCCTGAGGCTAGAATGAGAAAGTTCAAGATTATGTCTGGAGTATAAGAACTACTGGTTCTACCTCTCACAGCTCTTTTTACATTCAACAAAGAAGAAAAAACAATTTATATGATAATGTGTGGTCTAGACTCAGCTTTTAGTTTTAACAGTTTACTTTCATTGAGAGTTAAAACTTTATTAAAACATTTAAAAAGTTCTTTAAAAAGGAGATTTCTACAATATATCAACGAATATCTTTAACATAAATTGTATTAAAAAAGCGGGTTCATATTAAGCATGTGAAATGTATGAACAATGTATGTATGTAAATAAGTAATGTAAAGCAGTCTCTTTGGGGGGGTCTTGCAACCCCTCTCCCCCCCCCCACTCCTTAAATATGATTCCCCCTTCCTGTATTTATAAATACGCAGTGCTTAGTGAAGCATAAAGCTGTTAACAAATAAATAAAAATAAACTAAATGTATCCGGGGCCTCTAAATTCACGAAATATCCGTGAGAAAAACAAGTTGATTTATACATATGTAAATATATACCAATATAGTGTGAATATAAATATATTCCGGGAAATATATATATATCTGTAGTTTAACTACCGTGAATATCTAGAAATATCCGGATTGAAGATTCTAGATTACGTAATATCACACTTGGTTATCATTTATTAATTACTATGTTGTATAAAAGCTAAAAAGTAGGTTTTTAATCTTAGTCCATCACCGTTTCTCAAGGTAGGTTAGGAGAAACCATTTAAACTCTAGGATACATTGGCACGTGCTCAGTTAAACATGCCTTTATGTCAATATAAACATACTCTGTTGTACAAAATAAAATAAATAAGGGATTGTTGCGATGTGAAAAAACATACATTAAAGGTGATATTTTTAGCTTTCAATGAAGTTGAACATAATATTCAAATCAAAAGAAAATTTAACAAACTTTTATTTCAAACTTGCGAACTACCCCTTTAATATAAAAAGTAAACACAAAAACAAAGAAACTCGAGCTAAAGAACATTAAACAAACGCTTTTGACCTTTGAAATTTGTTTGCAAGAATGAGTTAAAGAATGAGAAATATAATAAAGGAATATCCAGGAGAGAGAGAGGATGAGATATTATTCACGAGATTGAATTCAAGAGAGATTTCGAGTTTCCTCGGATTGAATCGAGGGGGGGGGGGGTTGAAGGGGGAATTTATTGAGGTTTTGTAGATTAGCTAATTGGAAGAATATGGCCGACAAGAAGTGAATATCACGAAAATTAGAAGTAATTGAAACCTAGTGAGTGAACCACCAAACCCAACCACAGCAATCATATAGCGCACCCGAACCTTAACCAAACCGACAAACATTACCTTTAACTCTTAATACAATATTCNCCCCCCCCTACCCGCGAGATCCCTATCAACTTCATTATCACATTAGTCATAAATACCATGGTTTTCCACATTTAATCAAGAAAAAAATTACCCATCATTCCATAGATTAATCCACGTAGGAAACCAAGAGCTTTTATTCCTTGAAAAAAACCTAAAGGACGAGCTTTAAACCTGATAGGAAACCTATATATTTATACCACGAGGAAATCCAGATCTTTAATTCTTGAAAGAACCCATGAATTTTAATCCTTTTAAAGAAACGTAGGGATTTTAAACCATGAAAACCCCCAAAGCTCTAAATCCTGTAAGCAGTCTAGAGTTTTAGACCCTCGAGAAACCTTAAGAAACCTAAAGCTCTTCAGAAACCTGAAATGTTTATATTTTTGACCTTCGACAAATTGAATTAATATAATCAAACAATTATCTCTTTAAACAATTGGGAAAAAGTGTAAAATATTAAGCAAGCATGGTTTGAAATCTTGTGAGAGTGGTTTAACTTCCAAACTTCAGGATTCTCAGTTAGAATTAAATTCTCTACAATCTAGTCATCTTACTCCAGAAAACTGAAACCCTACGCTGACTCCACAGAGTTCAGAAAATGGGCAATCTGTCGACATACTACATTTATACAAGAATGAAATGAAAAACAAAACGCAACATTTGTGAAAACAATTTAGCACACACGATCATAGATCAGTAAAGGTTACATACTCCCCCCCTTGAGGTGTTACAGAAAATTTATTGCATCTTAGCAGAAAGGATTTAATCTAGTCAAATATAAAAATGGAATCAGGTTGACTATATCCATATCCTGGAATCGACCTGCAGAATCAGCAGTTTATTCTTATACCCAGAGAGAACCTTTTATCTCTAGAAACCGTCTCAGAGAAAGATAAATGAATTAAATCAACCTTAAACCCGGGAATAAAGTTTTAAAGATTAAACAATCTCATTTTATGTTTCTCTTCGTTCTATCCAGGTTCATAAAACACAAATGATTTCACCAGTGCTTAGGATCCGGATCCACAAAAAATGAAAATCTACCAATCCGAATCCCGGGGTCAAAATATCAACAAATAACCGGACAAAAAAATCTGTTGGTCTCAAAACCGAAATCCTGTTGAAAAAAGAAATTATCAAATATATTCTTATCTATATAATGTTCATCAAGTTTCAACATAAAAATAAGCGAAAAAAAGTAAAATAAATTTAAATTCTGTCATTTGTTAAAAAATCGAGATCCGCATAAAAATCGAATGTATCCTAAGCACTGGATTTCACAGGTTCTGCTAAATATTGCTGGGTCTGGTAATAAGAATCAACACCGGATGAGCAAGCAATAATCAAACCGAGAATCTAATCATTTTTAAGGGAGGGGTTTAACGTCATTAATATTTGTAAGGGAGGGCCGGAGGGTAAAAAGGGGAATGGGAAAAGAAATTTTAAATCATAAAATTAAGGGGCTTGCTTATCACACATGATAAGATGCATATAACTTTAAAATCTGTATGTATACTGCACATTTTACATCTAAACGGAGAAAAATAAGAATGCTTTGAGACTTCAGCCAATAAACTTCTTCATTCACAGTGACATGTAGGG